CATCCACTTTCTTGTCTTTTTTGACTTAAAAATCCTACATTTTGTCTTCTGTTTCCTTAAGGTATTGTCTAATTATCTGCTGTGTTTGCCTTATGTTCCTTCTAGCTTAGTCTTCATCTGAAATAAAACTATTGTTTTCTTTTACTTTTAATTCTCTCCTAAGTTTTGTTATTTCATTTCTTATTCTAGCTTTTTATGTTTTCTTCCATATAATTTATACTTTTTCATATCATGAAACTTTTTAAAGAGGTTCAGCTTTTTTTGAAATGTTAGATTGCAATATTTATTGATTTTTCATGTACTTCTCTTTCAGGCATGTTTTAATTCTGTAAGAGTATTATTCTATTGCTCATTTTTACATGAAATTAGTTTCCTGAAGAAAGCTTGATTTGGGTTAGATTTTTCTTGCTAATGTCATGACTATAGAGTTACATTTTCTATGATTTTTGAGACTTGTTCAAAGTTAGCCTGAATTTCCCTCTGAAATATCCTTGCCCTGCCTGTCTGCTTCCTCTTTTTCTGTTTCTATTTTAAATGTTTAAATATTTTGCTGTTTTTTATTTTCTCTTTCCTTCTGTCTTGGTTACTTTTTTTTGTTGCTGAGACAAAATACCCAACGCCCAAAATGAAGGAAGGAAAGGTTTATTTAGCTTACAGTTTGTGGAGGTTTCAGTCCATACTTGGCTGGCTCTGAGGCAGAAGATAGCAAAGCAACAAGAGCAAGAGGGAATGGCAGCCAAACAGCAAAGCAGCCAGAGCAAAAGGGAGGAATGGCGGCAAGCAGCTTCTTTCCCTGCCTTACATTGTAAACAGGCTGCCCCCACCTAAGGGGCATGTAGCTCTCACATAATCTCCATGCCCACCTCTTCCACAGGCTCAGGATATATACAAAGTAAGCACCCTGGCTTCCTGCTGAGTCACTTAGCCAAACCTCTAGACTCCCCAAGTTGACACAATGTATCAACCATAACACCTTCCTTCTACATTTATCTGGGCTTTCTACTTTCCTGTTTGTTTTTCTTATCTCTCTGTCCTGGGCAATTTGGAGTCCATTCTCACTAGTTTCTCCTGAGTACAGCTTTACCCCACAAGGGAGCTTAAGATGATTCATTGTGAGAGTTCATGAAGGCTTAAACCGTTCCCAGTCTAGACCATGAACTCTTTTCACTCACCCACTGTTTGAAGAGGCAAACCTCTCTCATTCACTGCTCTTACTCACAAATTACTTCACTAACATTTGAGAAAATTACTTTATAGAGTTCGCAAGTCTCTCAAATGCCATGTTGATTCCATGTACTCTTCCACAGCTCATACCATTTTGATTTTGTAGGTATCTCTGGTTTGTCGTCACCTACTATTATTTCTGGATTCATGGGGGAGTCATTTTCATACAGTTAGTTTAGACTGTGTTAGGGAATTTTGGTTTTGCTTTCCTACATGTTCTACTTATCTTTTATCTACACATTTTTTTAGAGTGGCATTTGGAGAGATTCAAAATCTATACTGTCTCTACTAACTTCCTTCTAGAATTTCTCTGCAAACAACATACCATAGATAAAATCCTGCCACCTGTTTTTATACAGCCTTTGACTGATTTTGCAGTTTTTCTATCTTTTTTTCCCTTTGTTCCTTTTTTTGCGTGATTCTGGGAGCCTTTTATTCCATGATGAATCCCGGGCCTCACAAAAGGCAAGTGCTCTACCACTGAGCTATGTCCTCAGCCCTGTTTTAAACTCTTCCATTGATATTGACAAATTGTCATCACAAGAGGTTATACAAGTTAAATTCCAGTAAAGATATTGGCTAAATAAGTTATGATGCATTCATGCAATGAAATATTATGTGGAGGATAAAGAAAATAGAGTCATCCTATTTTACTGATGTGTAAAAATATATAACATATGCTGTTAATAAAATACCAGGTTACCTATGTAGAATATGATTTTTTTCATGCTAAGAAAACAGGAGCATTAGAATATACAAAATCACATCTATTTACAAGAAGGATAAATGAGAATTAAGTTGTACAAGTTTATACACTTGCCAATAGTACATCCAAATGGTTGGCCACACTTTTGCCAACCTTGGGTTAGCTAATTTAAACAAACCATTGTCAAATTGGTAAATGACAAAAGGGCATTTTAATTTCACATATCAGGTTTAATGTTTTTTCATAAGTTTATTGGTTTAAATTAATTATTTTGTGAAATTCTTCTACCCTGTCTGTTTCTCCCCTATGGTATTCATCTTTTTCTTGGTGGTTTAGAAAGTTTTTTGTATGTCATCTATTAATCCTTTGGCTTAACAATTTTTGCCTTTTTATTGTCTTTAGAGTGATTAATGATGTACAAAATATAAACTTTTCTGTACTAAAAACTCCTTTATTTTTTATATATAGAAAGCCCTTTCCACTTCATATATGTGACTCTGTGTGTGTGTGTGTGTGTGTGTGTTTGTGTGTAGTTATTCCCCTGTATATTTTTCTATTACTTTATTTCGTTTTTTACATTTAGGTCATTAATTCGTCAGGGACTTATTTGTGTAATCTATGATGTGGGATTTAAATTTGTTTTTCAAACACTTGGCTAATTGTCTTAGTGCCATTTATTGAATAAGCCATTATTTTGAGGTCTTATAATTTTTTAGATTGTGTTCATTAGAGGTCACTGCATTTCACATTTTTAAAAAGTCAAGTTTGCTGAAGTGTAATTTACATGCAATAAAATTTGCTCTCTTTAAGTATTCAATTAGAAGTATTTCAGCAGATACGTGCAATTTTGTAGCCACTGCTCCAATTAATATATAGAATATTAGGTAGGTGTGGTGGTGCATTCCTTTAATCTCAGTACTTTGGGAGGCTGCTGCAGGAGGAGTTCAAGCCCAGCTTGGGCAACCTAGCAAGAGCCTGTCTCAAACAAACAAACAAACAAACAAGCAAATAAACAAACAGCTAGTGATGTTACTCAGTGCCAGGTTCCTGGGTTAAATCCCTAATGCTGCAAGACCAAAAGAAGGAAGAGGAGGAAGAAGGAGGAGGAGGACGACGACGAGGGGAAGAGGAAGAAGAAGAAGGGAAGAGGAAGGGAAGAAGAAACAGACTATTCTTTTAGCATACCCCAAAAGTTCCCTCATGCCTTTTTGCAGTCAGCTCCCTATCTGATCCTGGACCTTGTCCCTAAAGTCTTACCTATTCCAGCATGTCATTTATATAAATGGAATCATAAAGTACATAGCTTTAAACTTTTTGAATCTGGCTTCTTTCACTTAGCATAACACATTTATGAGACAACTATGTTTTTACATATTTCAACAGTTCATTCCTTTTTATTGCTAAGCAGTATTCCTTGGTATGGCTGTACCATAGTTTATTTAACCATTCACTTTTCGAAGAACATTGGGGCTGTGTCCAGTTTGGGCACATTATAAAGTCAGATTGGTATAAACATCCCTGTAGAAATATTTGTGGACATGTTTCTGGGTAAAGACCTAGGAGTGGAACTTCTGGGTTATGTAGTAAGCACATATTTAGTTTTATAAGAAACTGTCAGGGTGTTTGCCACTGTGACTGTACTGTACATTTTCACCAACAAAATGTTAAAGATCTAGTTACTGTGCATCCTCATCAGCACTTGGAATTGTCAGTATTTTTAACGTTAGCCACTCTACTAGGAGTGTCAAGGTTAAATAATTTTGTTAGAATATTTGGATATTTTAAGTAGTATTTCCCAACTTATCTCTCATAAATTCTCTAAGACAGAATGCTCCTAACTTACTGGGTCCATCTCTAGTTGTACAACCTGCAGCAACTGAATAGTCATAGTTGTTCTTGCTTCTCTTTCCTTATTTCTGTTTCTTTCCCTAAGCGTAAGGAACCATAGAACATCAAAACAAAAAAGGAGCTTAGATGTAATCTAATGCAGGTGTTGTCAAACTTTTTCTGTAAAGGGCCTGGTAGTAAATATTTTTGCTTTTGCAAACCATTCAGTGTCTCTTACAGCTTAACTCTGCTATTATAGCATGAAACAGCTATAGGCAATACAGAAACAAATGAGTGTATTGCAATACAAATTTACTTAGTGAAATATAGTTTGCCCATTTCTTGTTTAATTTAACAACTTTATTTTTATAGGTGAGAGAATACACCTTAGATTTTATGCTTTTCCCCAGATACACAAGTAAAGAAGGCAAGTTCTAAGATACTGGCTTTCACCATAAGAGGCATGCATGAATTGGGTTCGGAATGAACTTGTCTTATGTGTAATGTCTAACAATTGATGTTAGATAAAGCTACTAATACAACACCTTTCAAAGGTTTTAATTGCACTAAAACTTTTAGGGCTTCCTATATACTGTCATTGCTCTAAATGTTAATTGACTTTTTAAGCTTGTTATATCACTGGAGCAATGGTCAAATTTGAGTGGTAAGAAAACAAAGGTAATAAATATTCAAGTGAAAGCGGTTGAAATAAGAACTACATGCTGAGCCGGGGATATAGCTCAGTGGCATAGGTGCTTGCCTGGCAAGTGTGAGGTCATGAGTTTGATTCCCAGCACCAAAACAAAAACAAAAAAAACCCAAAGAAATACATGCTACCCTTTTTTTCAACTTGAAAGGCTTTTTCCAATTCTGATAATGTCCAAAATTGTTTATCTTTTTTTTTTTTTTGGTACTAGGCAATGAGGAAATGAATTCATGACCACAAGCTTGCCAGGCAGGCACTGCACCACTGAGCTATATCCCCAGCCCAAATCTGTGTGTCTCTTAAGACAATTAAACACCATGCAATAGTCTCATGTTTTTCCAACCTCTAATGTTAATTATTGATTGTTTTGTTGTATTCTTAAAATAGATGAATATTCTTAGATCACAAAACAGAAACCAGAAAAACATACTTATGATTCCACACATGCAAAACTAAAAATAAGCATTGTCTTTTAGTACTCAGGAAAAGAACATTGCTGAGAAAAATTATCATGTATGTTTTTTTTCTCCCTTGCAGCACTGGAAGAAGTATGACATCTGTGAGAAGCAATCCAAAGAAGAAACTGACTCTGTAGTGCTGATAGAAAACCTGAAGAAAGCCTCTCAGTGATTGGGATAATTTATTTTTGCTTCCAGTATAATCTTGTGAAGATTAGTCATATTCTCCATTTGTTATCTGGGGACTCATTAAATGGAAACTGAAACTACTGGACCCTTTAAAAACAGGCAGCTCATAGGAGCCACAAGTTTTTGTGTGAGTCATACACCAAAAATTCTAAAAATAATGGGCCCTTTATAGATGTGAGAGGAGTCATTCTTACTGAAGTATAAAAGCAGACATCCTTTGTAAAGTCTTCAAACTAAGGGACAAAGCAAAACAGTGATGATAGCAGTAGAGTTTAAGCTTATTTAGAGCTGTGACAACTTCCTAAGGGATCTATACTTGATGCATATACTTTGTGTCAGGTAACACCAAAGAATTTTATTTGTAAGAGAACTTATTTTTGGATATAAATAGTAATGTTGAACATGACTCACAGAGAGTGGTTAGCAACTAAAATTGATATCACCTGGTATCTATTGTTTGGGATCCCAGTGAATAATGTTTATGGCTACTAAAGCTCCTTAGAAGTCTGGAAACATCTGCTGTGATAGTATTTTCCTCTGCTTTGAAAGCCAGAAATCACTGTTGGCCATGATAATTAAAACTATAAAAAAAAGTAGAGGCAGCTTCTTTACCAAGACCATTCCATGCCATTGCAGGCTTTTAAATGCAGTGGAACAGAATGACTCACTGGGTATTAAGAGTTTGAACCAAGGAATCTCTAATGGTGTATTTTTCCTCACTTCTGTTACTCAGATCAAATGTTGGCTACACGTTTGACTTGTGCTTGGTGCCAAGGTGTGAGGGACACACCCGACACTGGGTTTACAGGCTAGCTGGGACTCCTCAGTTCCTACCACTTTCTTTATCTCCAACCAGCCATTCCTTAGATTTTTCAACTTCCCAACTTCCATGTCAACATTCCCTTTTTCCCCTCTCCCTCATTCCCTTCCTCTGATCTTTTGAATTTCGTTGGAAAATAGGATATAAATCTGCTCAGAACACCTAAAGGAGCAGGGACAAATTTGCATCTCAGGTACAGTGTGAATAGACTGAGAAACAGTGACTAATTCTTGCATATTTTATAACTTCCATGTGAGTCTGCAGTTGTTGAGGGTTTTTAGTATTTGATGTTTATGCATTTTCTAAACTGCAATGAGATATTATCTTCACTTAGAACTTAGCTATTTACTTGAGAAAAAAGGTATAGTTGTATTCATTTCATCTATAAAATGGGCCCTAGGTTCCTCTTTTCCCCGCCACAAATGGTTAAGTAGATTTTATGTGTTACATTGATAGCCAGGGCTCCAACATATATACTTATTTTCTGCATATGTTAGAGTTCTATTCTCCCCCATACCCATAATGTATGCACATATATTCCTTTTCCTATTTCCTCCAGATTTAAAGAAGTAAATGAGAGGTATTTCCCCTTCTGTCTCTCACACACAGACTCAGATTGCTAGTAGAAATTTAAGAACATTATATCACAAGTTCTCCAAGCATTTACCAATTCATAGTAATAAAATGATGCTATTTGCAATTTCTGTTCCTGGGGCAGGGGAGATAAGAGGCCCCTGCTCTCCACAGTTTTGGATAAACATGGCACCCTGCTTCTATAGTACCAGAGGAGCACTGTACTCTGGCATTGCTGAGGAAATTGGAATGGGTGGTGTTTCCCTGCTGTGCTTTCAGTTTACAAGTTGGGTTGAGGTGGGATACAGGCACAATAAGTGTTCACTTGGTTCTGCTGTTCACTAGAAAGAATATTTGGTTTTCCTGTGTAGAAGTGAGATTACTTCCTTCTTTATAATTCTGTGAAGCAAAGCACTGAAACGTTTCAAGCAAAGCCATTTCTACTGTTAGCCTACTTTGATAGCAATGAGGAGGGGGCTTAGAAATTCCCGAGGAACTACTGATGGTGATAATCATACAGCCTACGAGTGGGGAAATCATATTTTCTTTCTATCCTCCTCTTTTAGCATAAAATAGCTAAGAGAGAAGGGGCGAGTAAATTAGGACAGTACCTATAATAGTTGTTAAATTGCTAAAAAGTGATGATGCACAGGTCATAGGAACTCATGGCGGCATTAATAGGAAAATAGTATGGTTGATATTTTACTGTTTTCTCTGACCTGTGTGGTTTTTTTTTACCCTGTGTACCTAAGAAAACCCACTGTAAGTATTTTCATTTTTACTCTTTTCTGCATCTGGGCACTGAAGGTATACATGATATTATGTTAGCATTTTGGTAGTGTCTTGAACTAGGGTCATTTTGCTTATAGGAATGCTTGAGTAAAATATATATAAATTGTCGTTTTGTATGTCACCAAAATGCTTTGGGAGGAAAGTGTTGTCAGGAGTGGGTGGTGGAGAAAATTGGAGTTAAAAGAATAAATATTGTAAAAAGATATTTCAAGGTAGATGTTTTATAATCATTTATCTGAAGCTTCCCTGTGTTCTGCTGTGCCTGTGTATTCTGATAATGCATGTACTTAGTTTAATATTAGTATAGTCTTTGCAAGTAGCACATAGAGAGACTTATGTGTATTTGATAAATTGTAGTTATAATAAATAATGGAAATGAAGAGCTGGTCCTTCCTGCTATTAAGCTGAACATAGAGTCCACTATGCTCGCCGTCATAGTTTGCATGATATATACATGATATACACAATACGCTTGACTGTCATAGTATATGTGATGGGGGATCTCTAGTTACAGATTAACCATATTAGTAGGTTAGATTTGAGACTAAGAATCAGTATTCAATAGCTGTCCTCTTAAGAAATAGTGATCTAATTTCATATTTTCTATAATTACAACAACATCGCTTCTCGGCCTTTTGGCTAAGATCAAGTGTAGTATAATTACAACAACATGATTTGAATGTCACAGAGTTTTTTTTCCTCCCTTGTATTAATTTCTAAGAGCACATCTGTAGCCAGGCCACATTTGTTTATTACTCTTAGTCTCTACGGTATCCAATCCCTAGAGTATGGCGAGTGCTGGTCTGGTTAATTCAGTAACTATTTGGAATTATCTGGAAGATTCTGGAAACCCATGTCCAGGTAATTATAGTTGTTTGTTTAAATAGGAAACCTCTTTCTAGCTGAGCATGGTGGTGCACGCTTGTAATTCCAGTACTCAGAAGGCTGAGGCAGGCAGATCACAATGACTTTGAGGCCAGCCTAGGCTACAAAGTGAGTTCAAGGCCAGCCTGAACTACATAGTGAGACCCTGTCTCAAAAAGAAAAAAGAAAAAAAGAAAGCTCTTTCTAATTCTTAGCATATCACCACCAAGTGTTATGACAGAAATCTTTTAACTGGGGACCCTGATGGTCATACATCTGTATGAAGTCTATGGAAACCAAATTTCTGTAGCCACAAACATGCTCGCCTACTCTTGAGGGAAGAGGACCTAAAATGTTCTAAGCACATCTACTTTCCAGAGTGGTTTATCATTTTGTCATTACCCTAAACTCTGACTTTTTTTAAAAGTGTAACTTTATGGTCATATGAATAGCATATTATGCTACTCGGATATTAGTATTTGTAGAAGAAAGTGAGGAAATAAAAGCATCGATTTCAGAACTCCGTTTTTGTTCAACTTTAATGATTACATCAAGCAATAACTTTTTTGTAAATACTGTAACTAAATCTTGGTATACTTTTACTTTACACAGGAGTGGAGTTTTACTGCCATCTGGATGTGGTAGATATTTTTGACATCAAGCCCCAAGGTGAATTTTTCCTGAAGGTTCTTTGGCCTTTGACTGTCTTTCCTAATGGCCACATTTTTGGTTTACCATTAGCAACAAGAGAATATTTCTCTGTGAATTTACAACATGCGTTAGGTAGACTGTTACATAAAAGGAGAAAATCAGTAGTTTTGCATGGCTGCTTTGTACCATGTTACATGTATTATTTCAATTATTCCCTTTGTCAGTCACACGAGGTAGGTTGAATTATCTTCATTTTGCAGGTGAAGAAACTGAGATATAAATTGACTTTTGTTACAGAATCACACAGCTAGTAAATAACTGAGACAGAATTGGAATACAAGTCAGCTTGACTTTAAAGCTGTATAATATAGCCAGTAATGTATTTACTCATTTACCCAAGACACAGCTGTCTAAAATAGAAACACCTTATTACACATTGTCAAATTGTTTATCAACTGGAAGACAGGATTTAAATCACTTAATTGGAAGCTTTTAATAATATCTTAAGATTTATTTGTGTATTCATTCATCTATGTGCCAGGCAAGGTGATTGGTAATAGGAATTTAGAAGTAAATAAGGTTTGGCTTAATATCAGGTGGCTAATCAAGAGGTATCTGCATTGTAAAGGAGAAAGAAATCTAGATTTGAATTTAGATGCTCCAGAAGAACTTGGGCAGGTATCTCTCCCTGTACGGCTACGTTTCCCTAGCTGTGAAATGAATATGCTAGACTTAGTCACTTATTGTCCTATACATGACTCAAGAGTGGCTGTGAATTGTCATTATGGCTTGTATCTGGATGTCCCCACAAAGCTTCATATGCTCATAGGTGGGGCTTTTGGGAGGTGGCTGGATCATGGATGTGTGATACTGGGTTTAAGGATCCACTATTTGGTTTAGCATAGTTCTGGGTGTGGATAATGGGTAGGCCACCCTGAGTGTGGGCAGCACAAACCAATGGGCTTGGAGCCTAAATAGAATAAGAGAGAAGCAGAGGGAAGCCTGATGGATTCTTGCTGTCTGCCTGCTCTGATATGGACTGTCTCTCCTCTGCCATGCTGCCATGCTTTATTACCAGCCGCCTAGGGATTGAATCCTCCACAAACTATAAGCTAAAGTAAACCTTTCCTCCTTTAAATTTGGATGCCAGGTATTTTGTTTCAGCAGTGAGGAAAGTAGCTAAGACAGTTGTGGAGCTCATTTGGAAACAAATCTTTTTTTATGAACAGTAGCTGTATGACCATAGGCAGGTCCTTTGTCCCTCTCTGGATGGCAGTGTTGTTCTTTGTACCGTAAGGAGGATGGACTCAATTAATAGTCCATTATTCATTCTGACATACATTATTAAAGCTAAGATGATGATTTTTGTTTTACAAATCAAAAAAATATGTTTAACTAGCTAGTTATTAGCATAACTGCCAAAAGTAACCATAACAGTAGGCCTTTTAATCAAGGAATTGATAACACTGGATGAGCGCTGTGGCCCACCCAAATCAGGAGTTTCACAAGTGGCTAACGTTGTGCTTACCAAATATTTAACACATTTGGCAGAGCTTAGGTCATTTTTCCTGAAAAATATAAAGGATAGACTGCTTATATAATGACATTTGATATATTGCCTAAAATTGAGTCCATTTAGATTTAGTACTTGTAAATTTGTTAATTGAATTTAACTTTTTATTTTTACTTCATCCAAAGAATATATATACATAATTTTAAACCTCAAAGAGTGTTGCAGAGTTTGCTGTGCTTTGGATCTTAAGTGTGCTCAAGAGTACATATGGTAAAGGCTTATTCCCCAGAGTGGCACTCGTGGGGGGATGGAAACCATTTAAGAGGTGGGACCTAATAGGAGATCTTTGGGTCATAGGATGCATGTCCTCATAATGGGTAGTGGGACCATAGCCCCTTCCTCTTCCTCGCTCTTGCTTCTGGGCCATGCTTTGCCACGAGGATGTGCCACCACAGACCCAAAGCCACAGGAATAACCGACCGTAGACTTAAACCTCTCACATTCGGAAACAGAATAAATCTCTTCTCTTTATAAGTTGATGATCTCAGGCATCTGTTATAGAAGTGGAAACCTGAGTAACACAAGGTGCATCATTAAGAAGCCGTTGCTCCCTACCAACCCTGCTTATCCCTGATCCCTGCTCTTAGAAAAGATGTGGATGCCCTGTTTCCTGGAAACTCTGAATATGTAAGCTTATACAGCAAATGGGACTCTGGAGGTGTAATTAAAATTATAGACCTTAAAATAGGGAGGTTTTCCTAGATTTCCTGGCTGGCCCCAAGCTTGAGCCCTTAAAAGCAGAGAAATCTCTTTCATGGAAGCGGAAGAGAAAGAGGAATTTGAAGTACAAAAAAGGACCAAAATGTTCTCACTGGCCTGAGGGGGTAAGAGGCCATGTAGAAAGTGTGAGGAGGATCTGAATACTGCTAATTACTTGAAATGCCAGTTACTTCCCCAGAGCTTCCGTGGAGAAAGAGTGGCAGACACCATGATTTTGGTGTTATGGGACCCTGAGCAGAAAATCTGGCCACATAGTGTTGGACTTCTGACCTACAAAAATGTGAAGTAATGAGTTTGGTTGTTCTAGTGAGTTTTAAACATTTTTAGAAATTTCTTTTGCCACACAGTGTAACTACTTCTAAGTACCACCCTAATACTTAATTCTGCTTCTTATTTTTATGTAGTTTTAGAGCTGACCTATTCCTAATTTCTGCATGGTAAGAGGAGGAATTAGCTGGGATTTCCTTCCTTCCTTCCTTCCTTGTTTCCTTCCTTCTTTCCATCCTCCCTCCCTCCCTCCCTCCCTCCTTCCTTCCTTCCTTTTTTTGGAAGGCGGTTCTAGGGCTTGAATGCACGGCCTCATAGTTACTTTCTTTTTTTCCTTTTTTTTTGATTTGTTTTTTGTTTTTCTTCTGGTACCAGGAATTGAACTCACAACCTTGGGCTTGCCAGGCTGGTGCTGTGCTGCTGAGCTAAATCCCCAGCCCCATAGTTACTTTCTTTGTGTGCCTCCCAACACACACTTTTCTTCTAAAATATAAGAAAAATTGGTTAAAATATCCAGTACTTGAAAGGAGAGAGAGAAAAAAAGAAAAAAATTCAGTACTTGAATCATACCATATAAATATTGCTCATATTTAATGCATGCAGAATAATTAATAATATTTCTTACTTCCTCAGATTTTCTCACTTTTTATTTTTCTATGTAGTTGTTACGAGTTCAGTTCTAAACTTTCTGACAGACCCATAAAATTCCACTCAATATAGTCAAACATATTAGGTAATCTGTGAGTTCCATTTATTTGTCTTAGATAATGTCCTCTTGGAATTTCTGCCCTCTTGGTCATGCTGGAATGGTTATTTTTTTTAGACCTGCCATGTAGCTGTCATCCAGGGAATTCCCTTTGCTTCTCTTCTGTGTTAACTTTGTTCCTTAGATCCCAAGTTGTTTTTTCTCTGTGGCAATATGCTCTAGTTTTACTGGGCCATACTCTATTAACTTTCTCAGAAAGACTGTGCTGGAGTTTATTTTAATAAAATCCTTGTCTGGATATACCTTTACACATGATTAAAATTTTCACTAGATGAAGAATTCCTCTTTGGAAACAATTTCTTCTCAGAACATTGAAAGCATTATTCTAATGTGTTGTTATTTCTCGGGCTGCTTTGGAAAAGTCTGGTTCTCTAATGTATTCCAATTTTCTAAATGTAAAATTTTCTCCTTCAAGATTGTTTTCTGATCCCCAGGGTTTGAAATGGTATGCTTTATTTTGGATCTTCTTTTATTTAGTGGGATGGACTTTTTTTTTTTTTTTTTTGGTACCGGGAACTGAACTCAGGACCTTGTGCTTG